TTAATTCCAATAATTATATTTTTCCTACCAAACAACGTAATTTGAATTCCTACTTTATTCCCACTTTTTTCTTTTCTCACCGAATTACAATTCCTTTCCCCCTAATTCCTTCCTTCCAACCAAACGCCCCGTAAATCATGGATACAATTGGGGGTGGGGGTGGGGGGAAATGGGGATGTCCCACAAGGCCATGAGCGAGAATCAGGTTGAGAGCCTGCAACCCTAGCTAGTCTATGGGTAAATGAGAAACAAATATTGCAATTATAAATGGTCCCTCTATTTAACATTAAATAGACGGAATAACAAACAGATGACTATATTGACCAAAAAATACACAAGTCTAGGACTACATTGGATCACAACAGTCATTTAGAACCAAATCGAAAAGAATTACCATAATTGATGACCATGGGTATTAATTCAAATATTATTAAACGACAAGCTATTTTTTGAAATGAAAGAGTGAATATTATTAAACGACAAGCTATTGAATACACGCAGGTTCAGTCGTTCAGATTCTCATACTAATGGACCACTTTAGTTTGTTGACCTACTAATAAAAATGATAGAATTATGTACAACATAATTCAATAGGTTCAGATAATTGCTCATAACAATACCAATATACAAACAAGAAATAGAGCTATCTGTCAAGACTCGAACGAAGATCTGACAATCCATTTCGATGCGAACATTTCTTAGACCCTTCTCTATGACCCAACCAAAAGATTTGTTGCACCATGACGTAGAGCTAATTAACTCTTATTTATTCACACTATAAATTTAATAAAACTTGAAGTCTTAAACTGGCTCACTAGACTTGCTTCAGTGGTTCAAGGATTATCTTATAAACTTTGCTTCAGTGGTAGCGTAGGATTCGATTCCTAGGGAGTTCGAGTCCATTGATCAGTGGTGATCGATGAAGATTGAATAGTGAATTTAACACTCCAAAAATATAACAATTAATTCTTTTATAAAAATGACACTTAAAACTCGAATCCTCAATTCACAATATCAAACGGAGAATTATTGATTTGAAATCAAAATCAAATCAGGAACAAACCAAATTTTAAGGCTAAAGTGGTCTTCAAACCCAGCCAATATTAGGGGGTGTATTCGATCATGACTTTCATAGAGTTTTAAATACTTTTATGAACTTTAAAAGTTTGGAGGTATTCAATTCAAATTTTTAGAGAGTTTTTAAAAGTCAGGCGGTATTCAATCAAGATTTTTAAAGAGTCTTTAAAAGTCGTATGATATTCGATTAAGACTTTTAAAGAGTCTTTAAAAGTCATGTAGTATTCAAAAAGTTATGAATTTTTGTAAACTTTTTAATTTTAAGACTTTTGTAGACTTTTCCTTCTCAAATATAAAGAGTTGAAATCCAACCATCAACCCCAAGATTTCAAAATTTTCTTTCTTACAACTTTGAATGTTTTCTCTGTCTATTAAAACTCTATTTTTGTTCTCTCTATTTAAACTTTATAAATCTATCTAAATTCAATAAAATTATTTTTTTATACATTATCCTATATTTTCCTCATACCTAAACTCTACTAATTTTTCTCTCTCCGAAACTTTACAATCTTCATCTAAAAATTTGAAATAATATTATTTTTACTTCACTATTGCTTGTTTATATTGATTTTTATTTTTTCTATGAATTTTTTATCCCTAACTTTCTCTAATTCCCTCTAAATACATGAACAAAGCAAAATTTTCATTGTCAAATTTTAGTATATGTTTCATAATATTCATATAAATACTTATATATTTTGTTTTTTTATTCTTTTTATGCTTATATTCGTAATATATATTTTTCTTTTTTTAACAACAGGTTACTACGAATAGCGAACTACTGTTCGCCATAACAATTTGGGATTGCAAACAATAGCACCTTGTTGCTATTCGCAATCTCAAATTGCTATTGTAAATTAATATTAGATTTTTATTTTTTTATTTTATGGAACTTGTAATTATATTTTTAAATATTCTATTTGATCAATTCTTTTATTATAAATTTTATTTTTTAATATTGTTATGACTTTCTAATGAAATAGTTTTTTTTTTGGTTGATATTTATTAATAATATATATAAGTAATTAACATTTTTTTTTGAAGAATAAGTAATTAGCATATAAGTCTCAGCATACTAGGGAGAAAAATAATAATCTTGAGAATGTTGATGTGGGTGAAGAACTATATAATAAGAAGAATTTTATGATATATTATAAATGTTTTGTAAGAAAATTATAAATGATAAGAATCAAAATCATTGAAAGTTTGTAAAGATGTATTCAATTTAGAATTTCAATGACTTTTTTAGACTTTTTAAAATAAAAAAGTTGATAAAAGTTTATGAATGTTTTTTATATAGACTTTTATAGTCTTATAAAATTTTATAAAAAGTTTTAAAGGACTCTATGAAAGTCAATCAAAGTTTATTAAAATCTATCATTTTAAAAGTCTTTAAAACTCTACAAAAGTCATAATTGAATACACCCCCCCCCCCCCCTTAGACTTGCAATATGATGTGAATTTTTTTTTTTTAAACATTGTTTTTTTTTTTTGTTTTAAATTTACCATGCCTAGCAAACTGACTACTTTTACAAGTTTACTAATAGCAGCTTTTGCTGCCATTTTGAAGCAAAAGTTGCCGCGTCATTACTTTTTTTTTTTTAAATCAATTATTTTATTATTATTTTGTTATTATATTTATAATAATAATATAATTTGAAAGTCAGAGAATATTGCAGGGATGAAGAGAAAATAGTGGAGAAATTATAAATTTGATAATGTAGAAATGAGATCCATTTTTTTAAAGTGAGAGAGTTTTACAGAAATAAAGATAGTTTAACCTCATTTTTCAAGGTTGCCACATGACAACATGCGACAATATTAGCTTTTTATACTTTTTTTTTTAAATTTAATTATTATTTTGTTATTTTATTGTATTGTGAAGTGATGTGGGGTTGGGCTTATCTTTAAAAATGAGATAGTATTGCAATGATTAAAGAAAATAGTGAATGAATCATAAATTTAATGATATATCTATTTTTGAGAGTGAGAAAATATTTAAGAGATAATGATAGCTTAATGATAAATACTCATACATACATACATAAAATAAAAAGGCCAAAACTTTTTATCTTCCTCCACACATGCATCCTCAAACCCGAGACTCGTTTGTAACGTTTATCCGTTACTATTATTATAACATTAGGATAAGTTATGATAATATTCAGTATTTGATATATGGTGCAACACTAATAACCTAATAGACTACCATTATGATTAGGAGTCTGGTTAGGGTTTAGGAGACCTAAAGACAATCAACCACAATGATGGCCAGTGGTTATATAAGGTCACTAGTCCTCTCACTGCTCACATTACATACCTCATACACCATCTAGAGAGAGCTGAGTAAAGTGAGAGACAAAATACTCATTATCTCTGCAGCAGTGCGGATCGCTCAACCGTAACAGAAACTATGGCGGGAGGTTAGTCGATCCTATAATCACATATTCTTTGATGCATGTGATATTTTAGTCTAACATCGTTGACCAAGAATCCGCAGCTCATATTCCACCATATATATTACACAGTATATAATAACATTTCCTTATCTCCCTCTTTCTCTATAATGTAATTCTGAATCTATGCACACGTTGATAATAAATTCTCAAACTCTCAGGTGCATGTACTGATGTACAACTGTACAAAACTTTGCTTAACCCAAAAAACACATGATTCTTGTTATAAATAAATAAAAGAAATTAGAGTAATACATTCTTCCACCTTTTACTTCATTTTTTATTATCTGTGACATATTTTGATTCATTCAAAAAAAAAGTGGACCACAACTCTTCTTTTTGTGTGATTACTTGTTATAAAAACACCCCAAACTTGTAACAGATGAGGATATGATGCAGCTGAATATATTATCAAGATGTATTATGCTGGGGAGAGTTGGTTTGTACTTTGTAGCAATCCTTAGATGACAAAAATGGTAGGGTGGAATCCTTGAATTATATTCAATGGTAGTGATGAAGGCAGTACCTTGGAGTTAAAAAGATTGGTGAAAGGGTTTTTGACTGAAATGATCAGCTTGTAAGAAATAGTGACAATAATATGAAGCTGTTAAAAATTGTACAAAATTAAGAAAACTGGCGTAGGACTTGAGTTTCTGGTCAGAAATACAAGTCCTAAACGAGTTTTTGAAATTTTCGAAAATATTTTTTTGTGTGGATGGTCAACGTGAAATGCAAGTAGCACTTGCGTTTCTCTTTGGCCAGCTCCGGTTAGGGGAGACGCAAGTGGGTCTCCCAGTCTACTAAATTCACATCAGTCTGGCGTGATTTAAAGAAGAAAAATAGTTTCTTAATTTTTTTTCCGAACACTTACTTCATACACACACACATATATATATAGTAGTAGATGCAAGTCCACTTGCGTCTCTCCTAACTGGAGCCGGCAAAAGAGAAACGCAAGTGACACTTGTGTTTTTCATAGTATACGAGAAACTTGCGTGTCTCGCTCGTATCTCTACGGACAAGTGACGCAAGTAACACTTGGCACTTGCATTTCACGTTGACTAGCGATAAAAAATTATTTTTGAAAATTCGAAGAAACTCGTTTGGGACTTGCATGCGTTTCTGACAAGATTTTTGACAAGAAATTCAAGTCCCAAATGAGTTTTTCCTAATTTTTGTATAAATTTTAAAAGCTTCCTATTATTATTGTCACATGTCACTATTTCTTGAAAGTTGATCATTCCAGTCAAAAACCCTCGATGAAACAACCGACATTTAGTGATAAGAAAGATATTTTTTTTAATTTTAGTATGGATCAAATAGTAACCAAAAAGTAAGGAAAATAAGGATTGATGCTGACCTCTTGGGTATAAACTGTAAGATACCAGAAAATAAGGAGGTTGAGATCTTTGTGGAACATGTAGATGATGATCGATCACAAAGTAATGTTTTAAGGGGCCAAAATTGTGTTTTTCCCTTACATATATACTAAAGGAGAATACTGCCATATCCAGTTACATTCCAATCCCACATGTTTGTACCTTTGAAGTGGAGCCTTAATTACATTAATTCATGTAAACTCCAGCTAGAACATTAACAGTACTGGTGTTTGAAAAAAACAAAAAAACAAAGAAATCCAATGCTTTCCAAGGATAGTCAAACATGGAAAGTCATTAACCAAAAGGGTTTGCGAGGACTTGTACACAACAAATTAAACCTTGAAAATTAGTCGTGTTTGTCTAAATTTGTAAAACCTAAACACAGTAAACTATTGTTAACCAGCTTGCTCCATAACCCAGTATGACTTCCCAAGCTCTGTGGGGTTCTTGCTCTTGACTGCTATACAATACAAAGTGATGGCATTTATGGACAAGAGGACCTAGAGCTATTGAAGAGCTGTCCCGCGTCTATCCTCACTTTCTGTAAACTTCATTCCATTAGACTCGTTTCTCAGACCAACTGCCAAGTCCCGACCATCGGGTTTCTGGATCTCGATCAAATTTTCCTGCAAAGCCTTCAAAAACGAAAATTTTCAGCAATTGATAACATGCACACAGGGGTTACAAAGAATGGGTTGTGCAACTTTACTTACCTGTAAAAGCTCAGTCATCCTGCCAGTGCCATAGTTCATGAATGTCTTGGAAATAGATTTAGAGTTGTGAGGATTGGGCTGTACAGCTTCGGAAGTTTCTGTCAATGGAGGCTCATTCATGTCCCCAATTTCTTGACGTGAATTTTCTGATGGCAGTGAGGATCGCTGTATTCCCTCAGGACCTTTGCTAACATCTCTTCTTTTCTCACTAACTGAATCATTTTCATTCTGCAAATTGTTTGATGCTACTTGCTGGGCGGCTTGTGTTAGTGAAGGTAACACTACATGTGTGTTCGTCATGGTTGTTGATCCAACGGGTGGTAGCATAGCTAAGGGTTTAACCATCTGCACATCCTTTTCTTGGAAAGCAGCTTGGGATGCATCCGAAGACACTTGACTAGTGCTTGCTCCATTTGTCAGGTTAACAGGCTGGAGTACAACGGGAACCAAGGTGCCTCTAGCACCCACCGGTGGGACTGAAGGGGCTACTACTGTCAAGGATGCAACCATGGCTTTTGAAGCCCGATTTACTTGTTTCTGCCTGAATCGCTTATGTCCATGCTTTTGATTCTCTACAGGTATCTGGGTTTCGTTTCTTTGTATCATCTGAACATGTGGAGCAACATCGTTTTCTGCTGTTATAGGAACATAATGTCCAGGCTTAAAGACAATGCCCCTCAAGTTGGTATTGCTGTCCCCAATTCTAATACTGAGCAAATAACCGGCATCGAACACAGCCTCAACAATACCAGTAACTGCCTTACCAACCATGGCGTCATTTACATCAATATTTTTCTCAATTTGCGGGGTTTGGTTATTTTTCACACTATCAACACCCAGTGGTCTTTGAACACTTCTCATACGAGGAAGACTGGGATCCTTCCTTGGTCGGCCCCGTTTTCGCTTCATAGGGAGGGCAAGTTGGGTATTGGAATGATCCACTTGAATTGCTTGGTTCATTTTCAGAAGTAAAATTAAATCGCTGCCTTATCTCTAAATCCCCAATAGTGCATAAACCCTGTTGAAAGAAGCCAGCCTTGTAAAATTTGAAATAATAAACAGCATCTACAATACAAAGCAATGCCTTTGTATTTGGCAAAATCAAGAAAATGTTTGGCAAGTTCAAACAATTCCACCATAGATTCAATAGTAATAACAACTTATAATAAGATGAGACATTTATAAGGATGCCAAATATAGGATAGCATCTTTTCCTTCTAAAACAATCCGAGCTAATGGTGGGTCCCTCCAGAACCCCTCCTCCCCAAAATATTAACAAAGGAAACAAGATCAAACAACATTACAGATTATTTCTGTTCACTAATTAGAAATTCCTCCAGTTTTTTCCTGGAAAATAGTAAATGGAAAACAATAATTTCTGTTCAAAATAAACTGTTCTTTGAATTCAAAAATAGAAAACATTGTTTAAGGAATTTGAAAATTTAGAAAACACTATAAAGATATTTTTCAGAATTTCTTTGTTAAATTGAAATCATTTTTTCAAATGCAAAAACATGCTTTCATAACCACCATTACCTATTTACCTCAACCACAACTTCTTCATTTGTTTATCACTATTACTATCACCATTGCTCATCTTAAAATTTTCTACCACTATTGGTGCAATCACTTTGGCCCATCCCATGCTATAGTGACTTTTTAGTCATTCAGAACTTTTAGATTTCATTCTATAGTGAAGTTTAGGCATTCAAAACTTTTAGATATCCATAATTCCACTTACTCCAAAACTGAACTGTATTTTAATTTGATTTTTAGTCACCCTAAAAATTTTGACATAAAAAATAATTTTGAAGCAATCAAATCATGAAACGAATTCATATTTTATAAACTGAAAAGTAATTGATTTTGAATACACATTTTCAAGTATTCCAATGGAAAATGAAATTTTGAAAAAAAATTAAAAATCGAATATGAAAGGTAAACATTTTATACAACTAAGCAGTCCCTGAAATTTTATAAACATATACCAAAGCTATGACCTAGAAACTCTACGTGGCCGGTAAATTTCCATGATCAGGAGAAGCAAAGGAAACAGACATAGACTCAACAGCACGCATTGTCATGCTGCAGCCAAGCATATGCACCCAAGTTAGAGCAGACCATATTCAAGGGGACCACTCCAATATCATGCTCTGTTAAAAGACAGTCTGAACTCTGAAGTACCAAATTCCCAGGAAAATGTTAAGATAGAATCAGTGTAAAAGTGGTATCTTGTTGCATTTAGTGCCAATTTTTTCCACAGATATCGAACAACAGGACATTAGGATGCTTTTCTGAAAATAGCAAAAATTTTGAAAAAGCAATGACATTTTGACTGACAAAGTAAGAGGAAGTTAGACCAAACTATTGCTAATGCCGTAAAGATAAAGGACAACAACAATCCAGGATTATTTTTCTCTGTCAAAACAGTTTTTAAAAAAAAAAAAAAAAAATTAATAACGAACTTTAAACCCTAAAAAAAGCCGGCAAATTTTATCCCACAAACCAGAAATCCGCTTCAAAAATCGTAACGGCAAGTTTCAACCTTTTTGACTACCATAACAGCTAATTCGGTACAAATCTTAGAAGGAAGCGACATTAAAGGCAGGACAAACTTAAATAAAATTCAATATAAAATAGCAAAATAATCGATTTTTTTTTAAAAAAGAAAGATATATATAAACCAAAATGTGAGCATACCTCATAAGAGAGAAACAAGGCGGCTTGCAAGAAGCGACGAAAATGGAGGAATTTGGAATTTGAAACCCTAGATTTGGGTGGGTAAGACTTCGGGGGACAGAAGAGTGAGAGCAAATGAGAGATAATTATTACAAATTAATAAAATGTTTTTAGGAGTGTTAAACAGCGCATTAATGAGATTTTTGATACATGATGATAAGGACAAAGGCACGCCTCACGTGAAACGTGATAAAGTGACGGGCTGTGAGCCTCAAATGCAACGTGGCATCCGTTCAAGAAACATTCAAATACTGGTATCAAAAAAGCAGAATGTGTCACAAAAAAGCAGAAGAGACCGCTCAACTATTTACTGCCCGTTCTTTTCAAAAAAAAAAAATTATTTAAAGTCGGTTTGGTTCGTGAAAAATATTTGAAGAAAAATGAAATTGAAATTTAATGAAAAAAAATTAATAAAAAGATTAATTATATTGTTTGGTGGGTGAAAAATAAATTATTAAAAATATTAATTCTATTGTTTCGTTGAGTTTAGAATTGTAAGAAATAATGAGTATAAAAACAATTATACTCATACATAATAATAATAATAATGATAATTAATAAAAGATTTTGTGAGCATAATAATCATACTTATTTTCTATGAAAAATAAAATACCAACGAGGCCATAAAAAATGTTTTTTTTTGTTCTCATGAAAATGTTTTAAATGAACCAAATAAAAAAAAATTAATTTTTTTCAAATTTACAAAAAACATTTTCCAGCAAACCAAACATGCCCTTAATGTTTTTATAATTTCTTTGGTTATTAAGACACCGTTGGAAACATAAAAAAAAAATATATGTTTTTAAAATTTGTTTAAGACACCGTTTGGAAACATAACAAATTTCATTTTCTTCTATTTGGTTCATTTTTCTAAAAATAACATATTATTTGTAATAATAATAATAATAATAATAATAATAATAATAAGTGGTAGTGGTAGTTGTTAGTGTTGATATTGGTGGCAATGGTAATGGTGGTGGTAGTGGTGGTGTTGGTGTTGGTGACAGTGATAGTGGTGATGGTGGTCTAGTAGTTGAGGTGGTTGTGTAGTAGCGTTGGTGGTGATGGTAATGGTGATGGTGTGGTAGTGGTGGTAGTTATTGGTTTAGTAGTGACATGATTGGTTTGGTAATGGTGATCGTGGTGGTGGTATTGAACATTTGGGTTTCCCCTTCCAATAGATATTAAAAAAAATGAAAATTAACTTTAAAAAAAAAGAATAAAGAGATAAGGAAAAATAAAGAATCTGAAAAATATCTTCCAACTAAAAATTATGAAGACATTTTTCATCAAATTGAGTTTTTTTTTTTTTTTAATGTTGACCATAATGAATATTTCGTTTGACTTCATTTTCCTTGAGTACCCAAACACTGCAAAATCCAGAAAATAACTTTCGAAATTTATTTTCCGAGTTTCCAAATGGATCCTATGGTCCGTCGGGGGCGATTCCAAAGGTGATCCGAGAACATCTTCACATCTCATGAGGCATGCTAATATGAGCGATATGATTGGTCACAACTGATTTAGTTCAGCCGGACTGATGGTTATAATGGACCAGCGGGGTGGTTCCGGACGGACCAAGTAGGTGATTCCTAACGGATAGCCTTGAAGTGTATACCCATCATTAGGCTCTTTAGTACCAGCGGTGCAACCGAGTAGCGCTCCGCTGGGATTCTACAGACCGAGTGGCACTCTGTTAGTAAATGACCGATTGACACTCTGCTAGGATCCTACGGACTGGCGGACCGATCGAGTGATAGACCGAGTGGATATGGTGGACCAACTAGATGGTTATTCAGCTGACCGACCGAGTGATGGACTGAGTGGATCTGGCGGACTAACCGGGTGACGGACTGACTAGGTGGCTCTTCAATTGACCGACCGGGTGACAAACTGAGTGGATTGGATCGAACAAGTGACCCCAATGGTAGTCCTTTTGCATATTTACCCATCACTTATGATGGTTCTATTTCTAACAGAGGTATCCGAGGGCCTGTGGATAGATATGTGATAAAAAGAAATGCTAGTGGTGACCAAACAACCATTATTGCACCTCAAAATGCAATAGAACTACATCAGCAAGTCTGTTTAGATATTGAGATTTTTTTTAATGAAAATGCAATACCTTTTACGATAACATTTGCCCAAAAGGTTTATATATGCGGATGGTTAGGGCATCTATTGGAGTGATGTGAATGACCAGTTTACCCTCTTGACTACAATTTTAAACAAGTAAATAACACAAATTTACAAAGTATTCAGAATTAGATAGATATAAAACTAAGGCAACTTTTGATTTATAAGAATACAATATTTTTTTTTGAATATTACTGACTCTATTACAATACAGCATCTGTTCACAACTACTTTTTCAATATATTGAAGCAACCTATTAGGTTTAAATATATATGATGAATAAACTTTGGTATAAAAATATACTAAAAATATTCATTTGGATATAAAATTTGGTATTCTTGGTTAAAGATAGCAATATTCCAACACCATTATGCCAATTTGTGTTTTTCTGGTACTCTAACCCATCGACAATGCCCCGTCACTATTCATCTCCGCCAATTTGGAGATGGTGCAAATGACTATTTTGTCCTTGCTTATTTATTCAATTTCAAATATATCTTTTATCTTTTATGTATATTAGAAAGTACAACATAATAAAAATATGTTGTACAAGACTAATATTAAAAATATATATTAATTAAAAATTAAAATACATCAAACATAACTACAACATAATAAAAATTAAAATACACACAATATTTATATTAGAAAGTACAACACAACATGTCCAAATATTAATCAAATTTACAACTTGATTCAACTTCTCCATGTGATTCATCTCACTTTGCATCAATTCATAGTTATTGGCTTCTAATAGACTTTTGTACAATTGGATTTGATATAAATTTAAATCCTCCCTGCCAACACTACTCCAGTTTGAGTTTTAAACAATTGAAGCTCATAATGTTTTTGGAGTAGATAATGATTTTGTTGGAACATTACTTTGAATTGTTCATTTTCTTGTCTCATGGCAACAATAAATTGATTACATTCATCATTGAATTGTTTCTTCATTTCTTCATTTTTTTTCCTTCTGTTATCCTTTTGTAGTTCTGAGTTTCTGACCCACTCATGCTGGATGAGTTTGGGTGCTGGGAGGAGGGCTGAGGGATTGATTAGTCAGCCTAAGGGAAGCATACTATTTATGGAGGAAGGCCACATATTGTCAACTGGCAAGTAGGGAGAAAATCAAACGCAAACAAAATATAATAATTCAAAAAAAAAAAAAGGCAATAACTAAATAAACACAAAATCAAATGTTACAATGCAGTATCTGTTCATAACTACTTTCTTTCAACTTAGTTTTTTTATTGAGTACAATTGATTCTGTTACAATTCTACGGTTACAATGCAGTATCTGTTCATAACTACTTTCTCAACCTACTAGAGTAGTCCTCATTGAGACTCAAATCCACAATTTATATATGGGAGAACAACTTGACCACAAGGTCACAACTTAGTTAAGTGTAAAAAAAATTGAAATACCATTTCAGCCCTTCTCCTAGCAAAGCTCTTTGATCCAAAGTCATGTACAATCTTTTGGTGCTTTGATCCAAAGCTATGTACAATCTTTTGGTGTTTCCTACTTTCAGGATTTTTCTGCACATTTCCTAATAATAGAGCAGAATACTAATACATTAGGCAAATATGTCTACAACAATAAGCAAACAGATATTAGAATAAATTACCTTTGATTTTTCAGACAAGTTGACAAAACTTGACCACTAACCTCCATGAATTCAAGTGGACACTTACTAATCAGTTCATCTCGATATTTAACGAAGAATCATAGAACTCTATCCACAACCTAGATTTGAAGTCCTTCCACTTTCTCCCAATATTTTGAAGTGTCCAATGTTTTGCAATCACCTCATTTTGGAAGTGAAATTTTTGCTTCAAATCATGGTAAATGTAATTATTAGCATTATATACACTTATTTTTTGAATGTAGCAAATAATTGAAACTATTTTTTTTTTACCTTGATTATTTTGATAAAAATATCTTCTTTGTATTGCTTTGGCATCAATCTCCAATCAGTATAATGGATTGGAAATGAGCTACTTTCTTGTGCTAACCCTGCAAATGTTCCAGTAAATAATCTAGCTGCTTAGGAGTGTCCCCATCTGTCAACAAATGGAACTAAATTAATGTATTGATACATTCAAACTTTTTGTACATGTCAATCATCAATAAATATGATATAAACGTACTAATCACATCAACTTCCCACGTAGTCCTTGTTTTCTTTTTAGATGAAGATTGCAAATTTTGAACCTTTTTTATCTTGGCATACCTACACATCCATTATATTAGTACTCTCATACTTAAGATGATACCTGGGAATACTAACTGGAATACTAACTAATTTACCTCAAGAATATACTTACTGACAAAAAGTGCAAATGCAACAAGAAGTAGGCATATAATTAAATCAGTTAACCAACAATTGAAATTCCGAAGATCCCAATCTTAGTCTTAGTAAGCAAAATGGAAGCTAACAGCCTAACACACATTAAGCACACGACAAGGATATAGTAGTTACATGCTATTAAAGCTGGCAACTAATGTGTTCAATTAGTTTCCTTTAGCTTCCAAAACTGACAAAAGTTACTTTATAGACAATAAGTTACATACTCTAAATTAGATATCCATCCATTATAATCTAATAAAGACATAAAAACATCCACTAATTCATTCTATGTTTTTTTTGTTTCCAAATGTATAAGTAAATGTATGATCTATTTTCCTTTCTACAAAAAAAAATGAAAAATTTCTCAGGTTAGTATCTGGAAGACACGAAACATATGCTGAGAAAAATAGCAAAAACATTGTTAAAATGAATAAATATTATACCTATCAACATACAAGCTTGAAGATATGGAAGACACGAAACATATGCTAAGAAAAATCTATTGTCTTGTACTCCTTGACCAAAGTATCATTCTTAAATTTAATGATATAATGATGGGATGTTGTTTTGAACTTCTGAAAGTTGGTAATACAAATTTGAGGACCTCTCAGCATACTCCCTTTTATATGAACATAAACAAGAGTACCCTAATATTATATGCCAAAAAATTAGAAATAACATATGATGAAAACTTGCCTAAAGTAATATTACATAAACACTACTGTTTAGTTCATAGAATGAAGCTTGTAGTTTGCCACCCAAGCAATGCCAGCACAAAAGGCATGGAAAAGAAATAGACCAGACTAGCTTGGCACTAATCATATATGTACACATATATAAATAAAGAACATATATAGAATAATAATGCATATATATACCATTGTTTTATCAATTGATGATGGAGATGGTTTGTTTTATCAACCTTTATAGAAATGCTATATTGCACACCCAAAACCGGTCCTTCGTGTATTGGGCCTTGGGGTAGTTACGAAGCATCCTAGCTGACTATGGGACTAATAAAACATGCCAAGAAAAACAATGAAAAAAAATACCCAAATTACTATCTTGGATAAGAGATATATATAAACTACCTTTACTGTTTGAATTTGGAAATAGCCTTTGCAAAGCAATTACACTAAACTTTAACATTACTATTGCGTAGCCTGGGAATATTATCTAATTTAATGGGTAGTCTTTGCAGGTTTGACCTTGCATAAGAGCCATATAAAGGGGAAAACACACATTCTGCTACTAATGAATCATTAACAAAGATAAAAGTTAAACTGAGCATACCTTATACAAAGAAATCGCGACCGAATCCCTGGGAACACCTATCTTCCGCCTCTTGAGTTTAATAACATTCTTGAAATGAAACCAATACCTTAAATCACTCATATATAAAACGATTTGAATAGAAAAACAGCAATTACAAGCAGACTATAATGAAATCGTGATTAGTTTTCGAGTTTTATATTGGAGAGTATACTATCTTCAGCCTCTTGCTGCTCTATAATGAAACTGCTTATTTCTTTCTTCTAATATGAGGCCATCAGGGTTTATATATGCCGATGGTTAGGGCATCACAGTGAGTGAATGACCGGTTTACCCTTTCAGTCTTCACCACAGTCAGATTAATTATATTGGAGAGTTTTTTTTTTTTTTTTTTTTTTTTTTTTTTTTTTTTTTTTAATATTGGAGAGTATTTGACATAAATAAAAAGTATTAATTTCACTTTTGGTCCCACGACTTTAGAGGATCTATCACTTTTGGTGCACAACTTTAAAAGTTTTCAATTTTGGTGCCTAACTTTGTTGTTTTTATCAATTTTGGTCCTTTCAACCAAATTGACGACAAAATATTGCCGGATTATATATTTTTAGGGGTAAAATCGTCATCCCAAGGAAACATCTTCAATATCTAAACAAAATCACTCTAAAATCATATCTATAGGTGTTTGATCGATGAGAATAATTGAGAAGACGGACAGAAACTAGACACAGATCTATGAGATTTATAGCATCGACGATTGCCAAACTCTTATATTTCTCTTAACATGATTTTTTTTTGTTTAGATATTGAATATCTTTCCTTGGGATGACGATTTTGCCCCTAAAATGAAAAATTCGGCAATATTTCGCAGTCAATTTGGTCGAAAGGACCAAAATTGATAAAAATAACAAAGTTAGACACCAAAATTGAAAAAATTTAAAGTTGTGCACCAAAAATGATAGAACCTCTAAAGTCGTGGGACCAAAAGTGAAATTAGTTCTAAATAAAAATTACAATATTTGTATACATAAAATATATTATTATTTGAGTATTAAAAGTACATTATTTTATATATTATCAAATACTATATATTTAATATACAAATAATATACTTTTAATATATTATTTTGTATAATGAACTTTTTTTATAAACCACACTGCACTATATTGACTATGGTCTATATAAAAATTTTCCCATTGAGACTATCCACTAATTATACTTTTTGCATTTTTCTATTAATTAGAATTACCATGTAGTTGCATCTCCAAATTCAGGTTGAGTTTGTTGTATTTGGGCTACAAATTCCTATATTGATAGAGTTTGTCAAGCACCTTGTACTCAGATGGCATGTAGTGACTCTCTTATATGTGAGATGCGGTGTTAACTCTTTGTGACTCAACATGTTGAGAAAATATGGATGAACCGATACTACAATATAATAGAGTCGGTAGCTTTAAAAAAAAAAATATTGAGAATTTTTTAAACTTATATATATGGTTTTTAGCAAATCAGGAGCTTTTTGCAGTTTCTTTTTACATAAGAAGCAATAGAATAGAATTTTTGCAGTTTCTTTCACCTTTTGAAATTTTGTTATCATTTTGATGCTCAAAGATTCATGGAGATCAACCTACTATGGATTCTTAAATGATGTCAAAGATCGGCTCTACTTAAAAATGAAAATTTATTTGGCAAGGCTACAACAAAAGTTTAGGCACACATGATGATTTGATGGTTGAATGAATATAATGAGAGATGATGATGTATAATTACTCTACTCATGGTATTGTTTCAGTTTAATTTGGCCTTTTTGGTTGTTGTGAAAGAGTAGATATTTAAATTACACTATGCACCTTTTAGTTTCATTATAACAATACTAAAGTATCATTTTAATTATACTATAGTTTCATTTAATAATATATATTATTGTTTGAACTTTATTTTTTGTTTCATTCTCCACACACTAGTTTAATTATATTAATGTTGAATTTTGTCTTCTAAGTTAATATTTTTTTCTTCCTAAAATCTATGAAATTAAAATACCATGGAGGTTATAGGATTCTAATTCCATGAAAATGAGAGAATTTCAATTCTGCGAAATTGAAATTCCTTCCAACCAAACAAAGAAATTTGGTTACCTTCAGAATTATATGAGAATTAGATGAAAATTAAATTGTAATTCCCTCCAACCAAACACCCCGTTATTTGATCCAACAAATTTAGAAGGAAAATAAGTATACATATTTAAGGTCCGTTTAGAAACCCAGAAAATGACTCTGAAAAAATGACTCTGAAAAAATGTTTTCCGACAGGAAAATCCAATCAACGAAAAATATTTTCCGTTGACGGGAGAAAACGAAGCCATTTTGGCGAAAAATAACTTCCCGCCAAAGATCAATTTCCAACTTTCTAAACGGACCCTTAATTTAGAGATGGAAGTACTAAAAAGAGTCTTTTCAAGCCATGATCAATTTTCTCCAATTCTAGATAATTGATTCCATTCAAGCATCAAATTTAACCCCTAACTTTAAATCTTAAATTTCTAAAGAGGAAAAGCTTAACACTAACTTCAGATCAAAATAACGTATTAGTACTTTCTATTCTTTGTACAACATGTAGAACATTTGAAAACCAATAAATCATATTACAATAAAGTTTCAAAAACGTCCTCAAATAATACAAGTAATCTAAAATAAATAAATAAATGTAGGGGAGCCACTTCAATTATTCAGATCGATAAATTAAGCCAAATCTTCGAACTATGCATTTGACCGATTCAATTCAAAGCAACAGTAGATCTGGCCGCAGCTAATCTGGAAAATAGAAAAAAGCTAAGTATTCAATCAACATCGCAGCTAATCGAGATCAAACGCACATACAGCAACATCATCTCAAAAACAGAAACAAGATTTGTGAAGATTACTTTTGAAATTTTGCTTAAATGAGGCAGGAGGCTGCAGTGGAGGGTGGGGAGAAGCCGACTTCTCAGTTTTTTCCCTGGAAACCACCCCAAGAACTAAAGATTCAAAAAATAAATGCAGAAGTCTAAGATTATTAGGCAAAGCAAAACTCATATATGTTTAGATTAACTGATTATTATGCATTGAATTTGCAGATATACCTGTCGTCAAGTCGTTGTTCACAGGAGACCAGTGCTTTCGTCAGACTTGTCGCTTGCAATCTTCGTCGGTGAAAATTCCCAGGGGAGAGCGTGGGGCCTTGGCGGCGGCGTCCAATGCTCCATCCGTCTCCACCATATCTCTCTCTCTCACACACACACACATATATATATATATATATAATCTGACTTGCGAGCAGATTGACAAGTCATCGTGAGCCTAACATATTTGAACTCGAATTCCTATATATATATATATATATATATATATATATATATATATATATATATATATATATAAAATCTGGCTTGCGAGCAACTTGACAAGTCGTCGAGCTTAACATATTTGAGCTCGAATTCTAAATTGACCAAGCTTAAGCCAAGTTTTGACCGACTCCAATCATTTACATTGGCATGACTATTTTTGGTTCTTCATCAACAACTCAAGCCAAGTTTTGACGGACTCGAGTCATTTACATTGGCATGACTATTTTTTTGTTCTCCACCAACATAACAAAACAGCTTAAATTTCTTAAACAGTCAATTCACTTTATATACAAAAGATTGAAATATCTTTTTATTAAAAGATATTTCAACGATTTTGTTGATGAATGACAAAAAATAATCATGTCACAATAATACTAAGACCACATAAAAATATTCACTAAAAGTGGATTTATAAATCTAAGACAAAAAATGAAATTAACTCTATATAAAAACAAAAAAGAAACAAGCAAACAAAACAAAAAAACACTTTTGCACACAGAAGTAATGGATGAGTAATTAAAAACATTAAAAGCATATATCAAAAAGATATTAAATCTAAAAAACGGGCATACCTTTTAAATGAATAAAAGGGGCATTATACAGAGAAATCGCGATCGAGATCAAAATTAACAATATGCTTCTGCCACTTTGAGTTTAATAACATTCTTGAATCCAAACGAATATCTAACATCACCCATTTCTTGATTATCAGATCATAAAATCAAATTAGTACGGAGTTTTTTTTTTTGTTTTTGTTTTTCCTTGTCTGAATTTGGCTGTTGCTCAGTATTGATTTTGTGTGGTAATTGAGGCTATCAACGGGTTTATATAGCCTGATATTAGGGCATCGCCTAAGGAATGGTGAAAGATCGATCTTACTCCTTAATTACCGGCAATAACGTTTAACTGAAATGCGATTACTCCTTAGAAAATAAATAATAGCTTGATTTTGAAATTTGAATGATCTATAGATTAATCCGTGAAATTTGAAATTTCTAAAATTTTTAGGATTATTATTATTTGATGTTGTAAAATATAATTATGAACATTATTCTAGCATTAATAATATGATTGGTAACGATTTTATATTTATGGTATGATTTTGTAATAACTGTTATATATATTACTGTAATAATGTACAGAGTTTGATGATGAATAAGAAATCATTTTCTTGTTTTTATTATCTTCTTGTTATTAGGCCTGTGCGTCGGACGGTTCGGTTCGGTTCGGATACTCAGAGGGCCAAACTGCACGGATTTCGGATTATTATTTTTAAACCCAATCTCATTGTATCAATTTGTAAAATCTTTTCGGTTTTATAGGATTTCGGTTGAGGACGGGTCGGTCGGATATCCGAATGCATCTCGGATATTTAAAATATAAAAATAAAATTAAATAATTGACTAAAACGTGTAAAAATTAAGTAAAACTGAAAAAATTTACAAAAACATGTAGTGCACTGTGCACAAACTACATGTAAAGCTACTAAACTAGACAACTAGTACTTAGACCGTTAGACTCCAAAAAGTCAAATGGGCAAGGGCAATTATGAATTTGCTTATACAAAATGTAAAACTGTAAAAGTAGCCAATTTCTAAAAAACACTGCAGCAACCACCATTGCACCAAATTACCAAAATTACAGTAATTCAAAAAATATCCAAGTTCCTAGCTCAGATTGCTCAGTAGTTCCTACTTTAGCTCTAGCCTACTGTTCTTCTTCTTCCTGTCAATACTCAAAACTTAAGATGAATTAGCAAAAACAAAATAAGTTATAAAACTATAAAAGGTAGAAAATAAGATATTAAACATTGACTCAGTAAGCTTTTTGTCCATATCAAAGTTAGGATTAAAGGCAAATTGCTACAACATCCCCATGAGGATAGAGCAACATACCAGCTTAATCCCTTATTTCAGATCATTGGTGGAAGCTTTCATCATCGCCATAACAAATAGTTAAATTATTTAAAGTCATAAATACATAATACAATGATACATTACCAGCACCCTTGAGTCCAACAACAAACTTACCAACTAACAGTTATACCACTGTGGCACTGTCCAGTGCACCAAGGTCCAAGGGCAGCAACCAACAAGTTAGTAAGTTACCAAGCCTCATTAGGACAACTGGACAACTAGGCAGCAACTAATTACTAATTAGTTACCAAGCCTCATGAGTCACGAGTAATACAGTATACAGATTACATTAATGCAAGAATATAAAGTAGTATAAAGTATAAAGCATAACATTACAGGAATCGTAGGAAGTGTAGAACCACCAATCCTCCCAGCTCCACTCCCACCATCAGCACCCAATTCTGCAAATACAAGGACAAGTTTAAAATAAAAGTAAATAGAAAATGCAGGAAAGTTAAGTGTTAGTATGTTACCTTGTTCAAATCTCTCCAATTCCTCCAGATTTTCCTCAATTGATATGGGGGTATTAGGCAGTCTAAGCCAATCCTGAGTACAAACCAGAGCTTCCACAATTTTAGGAGTTAAAGAACTCCTAAAAGGATCTAAAACCCTCCCCGATGTACTGAAAGCAGATTCTGAGGCAACAGTGGATATTGGTATAGCTAAGACATCCCTAGCTACTTTTGAAAGGATAGGAAATCTTTCAGCATTCAGCTTCCACCATCTAAGTATGTCAAAAGAAGATTCTTCTTCAACTAATGCCTCAGCAAGGTAAATTTCCAACTCAGTTTTTTTCTTTCCCCCACTCTCCATTCTTTGTTTCTTAATCTGGGACTTTAACAAACCCTGGGGATTCCAAACATTAGACTGTGAAGAATCAGTAAAAGAGATGACAGAAACAGTAGGGACAACAGTAGAAGGAATCACAGGAGCAATAGGGACAACAGAGGCAGCATAATCATCAAACAACTCCGTAAAAGCTGCAACCACTTTCTCATAGTAGGTTTTACCTTTTAACTCACCATACATGTGTAAGATCTGTGCTGGCATGTACTCTAATTTGTCCCTAGGGTCAAGAATGTTTGCAAAGAATATCATCAAGTTCATCTTATCTATATCCCCCCAATACTTTTCAAATTTAACCTTCATAGTTTCCCCCATCAATTTCACAGAACCACCAGCTTCCACCATTCCATTCAATAGGCAATATAAATCAGAAATTTTAGAAAAAAAAAGTGTTAGATGTGACATATAAAGAACCTGAAATTCTTATTGTCATATCATAAAAACACTTCAACAGATTCACCAAACTCTTCACAGACTCCCAATCAAGAAAGTTAGGAATAGAATCACCCAAATCTGATTTGAAGGAAGAATCACTTTCTTCAAGTGAATAAAACACTTTCTCATAAAATACTGCAGATTGTAACATAAGATATGTAGAGTTCCATCTGGTTGGAACATCTAGACACAGAGAAGATTTCTTTTCAATCCCAAGCCATTTAGACAAGTCCTTAAATTTCTTAAGTCTAGCAGGTGAACTTCTCACATACCTTACAGCATCCCTAACCTTCTTCACAGAATCATCACACTGTTTTAGCCCATCTTGCACAACTAAATTCAAAATATGGGCAATGCATCTCATGTGAATGTACTTGCCCTTCACAGTAGATGTTCCCTAAGACATCAATTTCTTTTTTAAAAAACCTAGGGCAGTGTCATTTGATGATGCATTGTCCACTGTAATAGTGTAGACATTTCTAATACCCCAATCCAGCAAACAGTTTTCAAGGGATTTTGCAACAGACTCACCTTTGTGTGATGTGACAGGGACAAATGAAATAATTTTTTTATTTAGCCTCCACTCTTCATCTATAAAGTGAGCAATAACTACCATGTAGTTAATTCTCTGAATAGAAATCCAAGTGTCAGTAGTAATACTGACTCTTTGAGTGTTTCCCCTAAACATGCACTTCAACTTGAGCCTTTCCTCTTCATAAATCAAATTGATATCCCTACTAATTGTCCATCTTGATGGAATCTTAAACCTAGGACAACATACCAGAATGAACTTCCTAAATCCAGGACCTTCAACAAATCTAAAAGGGAGTTCATCTATTATAATCATTTCAACTAAGGCCTTCCTAATAGCTTCTTGATTAAAGACCCAAGTTCCTAACTCACCAACAGTAGCAGGAGATGCATCAGAATTGGTAACAGCTTGAAAGGTCAGAAGTGATTGCCTTGTGTCTTTTGAGTGAGGGTTTTTAAGACAGTTAAACATGTGGGTTCTCAATGATGAAGTACCATGTTTTTTGGTCTCACATTTATATATTTTGGCACAATATATACACTTGCCCTCAACAGTAACATTATTCTCATCAACAATCTTTTCAAAATGATCCCACACAGGAGATCTGGATTCAACTACCTTCCTTTTCTTCGGAAGAACCGCAGCAGTAGGTTGCACATTCTGTTGATCATTATTTATCTCAACAGTCTGAGCTTCCACCACTGTAGATCTATGAAGTGAAGAGTTGGAAGGTTGACTACCAGACTCTATGATATTTTCCATCTAAAGAAATGGAATACTATCAGTACAGTGGGAACCATTTCAAAGAATGTCAGAATTAGAGAAATCCAGAATCAGAAGACAGGCAGTTCCTAACTTCATCATTTTTCTAAATTTCATAATTGGGACTTTAAGGAATTAACTATTAAGGGTCATACATCCATAAACTTATAACTTATAAGTTATAAACATAGTAACATACAGGCATACATGGATACAATCACAGTATCACATTAATCACACAAAGTGACAAAGAAATCCAGAAATCAGGATGGTGAAAGCCTGAAGTTTACATTCATCATTTTACTGGATTTCACAATTCGTAGTTACAATTGGGGCTTCCACCATTTTCACCAACACAGGCAACATCCAACAGCCAACAAGGGTTAGGGACTTAGGGGCTTCCACAAACAATACAGACAAAGTATAATCAACAAGTGTAAGGGACTTAGGGGCTTCCACAAACAATCACAACTAAGTGATTCTAAAATGTCACAGTCCATATAATCATAGAAACCCTATTCAAAGGATCAAAAATTCACAAATAAGGGACAAGTGACATGCAATCCGGAACTTCTCAACAGATTCACATTGTCACAGTCATCAGAATCATAGAAGCCCTAATCAAAGGATCAAAAATTCACAAATAAGGGACAAGTGACATGCAATCCGGAACTTCTCAACAGATTCACTTTGTCACAGTCATCAGAATCATAGAATCACAAATAACAACAACGTATCACAATATATAAGAGTATAATCTAAGTATGTCTAAGATTAGGGTTTAGAGATTACTTCGTTTCTCCAAATCAAACCCCCGAGAACAAAGGACTTCAAATCCGTGAGACCGTGACAGCAATCTACAATCCACCGCACCGGCTACAGGTCGTCCAGACTCTAGAATAGGACTTCTACCGAACAATATTAGCTAGCTTCCACCGGAGACTCAAACTCAGAGAGAACGAGAGAACTCAGAGACTCAGAGTCTCACAGAGTCAGAGATTTGGAGAAGAAAGAAGTAAGAACTAACTAGGGTTTCAGATTTCAGAGAAGAAAGACGAGACTCACGAGAGAAGTTCAGAGAACGACTCTAGAGAGTTCTCAGAAGTCAGAAGAAAGACGAGGAAGCTGCGGAAATGAGTAGGGTTTCCTCCAAAGGCAACATATATACACCGCTTACACGACGTCGTATGCCTTAGGGTATACGCAGTCTTACCCTAATTCGGGTTGTCGGACGGGTTCGGGGGAATTTTATAACCCCCAACCCGCCTCGTTCTAACCGGCTACGTGGCGTGTGAACGGTTCGGGTATGCTAATTCGGGCTCGGATTCCACCCAAGTGCATATATTCGGGTTCGGGTCGGTCGGGTTTTTCGGGTGGGTCGGTTTATGCACAAGCCTACCTGTTATTATTGTTCTTCGCGAGCTAAAGGCCTGCAAACAAACCTGCAATACAACAATTATGTTTTTTTAAAACATGATTATTATTATTATTATTTTTTTAATTTGATTTCAAAGTTAACTTTATAATTTAGTAGGTATGGTTATTTTTAGAGTAGACCTTGCAACAATATGAAGTACACCCATCAATAGATATTACTAAGTGTATTCAATGTGTCAAATTAAATGTAAAAGTTCATTACAATAAGGTTCACCTTTTAATATATATATAATTAAGTTCTCGTGTGGTTGTGCGGTGAGTAATGTGCGTGAGTTTTGTACTTAAAGTGCGTGAGGCTTGTGCTTAAGGTGCGTGAATTTTGTGCTTAAGCTGCGTGGGTGTGTACTTAATGTGAGTAGTTGTTGAAACTTAAGGTGCATGAGTTTTGTGCTTAAGGTGCGTGAGTTTTGTACTTAATGTGTGTGAGTATTGTGCTTAAGGTGCATGAGTTTTGTGATTAATATGAGTAGTTATTGAAACTTAAGGTGCATGTGTTTTGTGCTTAAGATGCGTGAGTTTTGTGCTTAAGGTGCGTGAGATTTGTGCTTAAGGTGCGTGTGTTTGTGTTCTTAAAGTGTTTTGTTTGTGTGCTTAATGTGCGCGTGCTCTTTACTAAAGTGCGTCGTTTAATGCTTAATGTGCGTCCAACCGCACGGGAAGCCCTTCATAAGAGGAAAAAAAAAGTTTGTATAAGAGGAAAAAAAACGGATCTCAACCTTACACGTAGAAAAATCAGATCGATCAGATCAATTTTTTTTTTTTTTAAAAAAAGAAGATGCGATGACATTTTCATAATTATCACTAACTTTACTATGCAAACTTGAACACTAAATTCTACAATTCTTAGAGTTTTTCAGATTTGTAGATTTAGTATTAACATTATCGGGTGTCTTTTAATTTGCCATGCAACACAATACAGATTTGTTGCCACTATGCCAAAGACCTTCTAGTCAAGCGGCATAAAGTGACTCTCCCAAGTGGGAAGGGTCATGGATTCGCAAGCCTTGGGTTTTAGTAAGTTGAGAAAATATATATAAACATATACTACATGTAACATAGTTAATAGTGCTCTAGGGTGTGTTATAATTTGCCATGCAACACAATTACAATATAAGATCAATATCAGATTCTTAACACAATTATTGATATGAAGACGTTATATCAAATCAAATATAAAATATAAAATAAAACAAAATGTAGAAGTACACATAATAAATGTACTCTATTACACCTCGATCAAAACACCTTAGCGTTCATTTTCAAAAAAAAAAAGGAAAATCTTTCATTTCCACAACAATGGCAAACTCTTCGCAAGGTTTGATCATGGAGGAAAGAGAAGAGCTAATGGTCTCACCCACGGGTGGAAAACCAACTCTTAGAACTGCCCATTTCCTAAACCCCTCAATTACCTCCATTCATAACCCCCTCCCCCTACTTCCTCGCCAAAACACGGCCACCGGCGGCCGGGAACGGCCGCCCAAGCTCACCTTCCGTGGGTGGAAGAATAGCGCACTCAAGGATTGGGGAAAATGGGTCGAAGAAATGCGATATTTGCACGAATCCGCGTGGAAGAAAGCCGGAATCTATGACGCGGTGATGAATTCGACGTATATAATCCTCCGGAACGACGCTCTTATTCTTGGCCTCGCCGGAAAATGGAGCCCGGAGACTAAAACGTTTTTGTTTCCATGGGGAGAAGCTACTCTCACATTGGAGGACATGATTGTGCTGGGAGGTTTCTCTGTTTTGGGTGATTGTGTTGACCCGGATTTAAGCCCTTTAGGGGATAGAGAATGGGTAGAGATCAAACGTAAATTGCTCAAAGCAAGATCAGAGATATACAAAACTTGTTCTAAGAAAGTCACCCATGGTTCTTGGATTGCTAAGTTCATTGGCAGTGGGAGTGAAGTTGAGCATGAAGCTTTCCTAGTTCTATGGTTAGAAAAGTTTGTTTTCCCCAATGAAACCATAGGCACAAAGGTTTTGGACATTGCGATCTGGTTGAGCAGAGGAAATAGAATTGCCCTCGGGCCTGCTGTTTTGTCCAGCATTTATCAGAATCTGGGATTAATGAGGGAAGTCAATCAAGTCATGATTTCAGCCCCGTTTCAACTCGTGCAAGTATGGGCATGGGAGAGGTTTCCATCTTTACGGCCAAATCCCAATTCTGTTCTTGGACATGATAAGCCAAGATTCGCGAGATGGGATGAGGTGAAAATGGAGGCTAAGGACGTCGTGTTGGCTATAGATTCTGCTCGGGATGATTTCTGTTGGCGGCCATATACCTTGGGGGCGGGGGCCAAAAGCTCGAGACTTTACAAGGAACAAGAATGCTGGATATCGGTTGGGGATGATGGTTTGGACGAAGAGTTAGAGGCACTTGTGAGGTGCTTGAGAGCAAGCGAGCTCGTGGGGATGGAGAATTGTATAGAGCAGTACCTCCCACACCGCGTGGCAATGCAGTTTGGCATGGATCAGGACGTTCCAGGGCACGTAGGGCGGGCTGACAGATCCTCCGAAACTGCTTGGGAGTTTTACACGAGGCCAGTCTTGGACACTAAACTGTACTTGCCACCGCGGTTGTTTGAGTCAGACGTTACCTTTCGGTACCTGCAGTGGCGGGAGGAATCAGCCCCGAAAAGGGTTGGCGTTAAGGCTGTTGTTAAGAGGAAAAGCTGCAAGATTTCGGATGGGAAAGTGTTGAAATCAGAAGATGATGATCCAATTGAAGCAGATGACCACATCACTCTAGCTCAACTTGTATCAAATCCTGGAAAAACTAGCATCCATATTGAGCCTGCAGAGAAGCAGCCAGAAGAACAACAAGAAGGAGATGTATCTAAAGGTATAGCTGAAGATGTAAATAGGTGCAATGTGAAAAATGGCAGAAGCAAAGATCTGGTGCATATATCAAAGGTTCAAGAAAAGGGGCAACTTGAAGATGAAGATGAAGATGATCTATCTGGGAATAGACCTACTGGTTTTGACAGCAGAGATTGTAGTGTAGGTACCTCCAAGATTCCTGGGATGGATCTTGAGAAGAGGATTAGGAATCTTGAGAATTGGCTTGCTTTAATACGAAGGAAAATTTGATCATGGGCTTGAACAATTTAGTCTCTCAGATATTAAACAAATTGTAGAAACTTTTTGAATTTAATATGAAATTAATGAATTCTGCTTGCCATTCTTCCTTGAGTGACAAGGAAACCACATCCACTATTCGAGGTGTGCACTGCGTAAATCCAGCAAAGGTTCATAAGGTTGCTCAAACCAGCTCAAATCTAGAAAGTCAATAGGCCGCTTTCACTGAGTCACTGAAAGTCAAATTTGTAATCTTGTAATTATCAAATTAACAAGCTAACCAACTTAACTAGTGTTGTCCCTCTGTCATTCTTTGTTGTTCTTTATTCTGCACAATTTTTAATCTTTCTAATACAATTTTAATTTGTTAAATCTAGCATTTTAATTTAATGTTATGATTCCAAACTCCAAAGGCGTTTGATGCCATATTATGTGTGCGCATTTTTACATTTTTTATATAATCTATTAACAATGTTACATCCCCTACAAAAATTGTCATGTAATATTCACTATGACGTGTTATTGTATTTTACATTTGATTATTATCTTTATTAACTCATGGTGAGATGGATCAGTTCATAAGTATACGAGTAAGTAATGTAGGAAGAAATAGCATTTTTATTAATCTAAAGTACAAAATCAAGGTTTTAACTTTATGCAACAAAATCTTATAGTTTAGGGATAAATCTTGTATAAGTTCAACACAATTCCATATAGAAGCCAACCAACAATCAGCATCAAAATGAAAAATAGAATAGAATACTCTAATTACAAATACCTACTATTGTCCAAACTACAAATCATAGGAAACATTAACAACAAAAAGTGGGTGAATTTGTGTACATTTTAGAGGTTGTTACTTCAAACAGGCCAAACAAGGTTAACTTAACTACTTACCCCTACTTCTCCAGCTTTTGCAGATCGATTTCCCAGGCCGCAGCCAGCTGCAACAAGAGTTGATCGGGCGTTGCGCCTTCCCAATCCTCGGGCAACTCGACTGATGAAGAGACATCGTGCAAATTCAACACGAGTTCCTTTTTCACTTCGTCCGGGAGACCCAGGACATCAGGCCCATGCTCTACTGCAATATCTACTAGCTGAGAAGGGATACAAATAAAACCAACCATCACTTTGCTTGAATTCACAGTAAAAGAACGTCCTTTAAATGATTACGTATTGGACACGGGTTCAAATGACAAGAACAACTAGGGACGTAAGCGATTATAGCTAATCAACGCCCTTTACCTATTGTGACACATGTTCAACATAATAACTAGGGGTGTAAGCAAGGTTGAAAAAATCGCTAGGCGCTTGGGGACCGCCTAGGGCGCCTAGAGCGATTAATCGGCGCCTAGAGCGCCTAGGCGGGCGCCTAGGCCCGATTTTTGCAACACTGGGTGTAAGCAAATAAAGCTATTCGGGCTCAGCTTGCCAAAAACTCAAATTTAGTTCAGTTAATTTCACGTCAACTTTGAGTAATGAGCCCAGCCAGATTCAGATATCATAATACTTTGCTCATTTGGTTCATATGGTTCCTTTATATCATTAGAGGATTAGAGGAAGTAGTTATATTAGTTGGTAAAGTTCATACCTGCTGAACCCAAGATAAGCAGATGTCCAACAAGTTTTGTTCCATCAGAAACTGAGCAACTGCATGCACAACCTCACTTACTACCTCATTAGACATTTGGTCAATCACGGGACCAGATCTATCCATTAGCTTTACAAGCAGGAGGTCATCCCCAGTAGATAAAACTTCAGCAAAAGCTGAATCTGCATCACCCGCAACGAGTGCATCCATGGCATTGCTCCAAGAAATCCAGACTGGATCACGTTCTTGGACAATATTACCATCACCTAATGCTTCAGCAGTTAATTCGGGAATAGGTACTCTGGCACCTCGAGCAGTTCCACTGTCGTCACCAGCAACACGTATTGCTTCCAAAGTTGCTTCGTCCTTTGAAGCTCGCCAGACACTTCTTGCGGAAGGTCCCTCACCAAACCCAAAAGGTAGGGCTCCCTTGTCCCAAGCTCTTCTGCTACCCACCTGATCAGTCTCATTTTCAGATTTAGGTGACCTGCCATCCAATGAACCAGCCACACCTCTCCTAGAGCCCATGTTGTACACATTCTTACCATATGTATGAAAGTCCCTAGCATCAGTAACTTCAGATCTCCAAGGCGGACCCCTTCCCCTTATCCCTGAAGGAATACCATCAGATTGCACAAACCTGTCTCCAAAAGGAATGCGACCATCGCTACCTGTCACTAGTTTTCCACCACCATATTCTGGGAAGCCATTGTATTTTCCTAAAGGCCTGTTAGATGACCCCTCGAATCCAATCATAAAATTACTACCTCTTCGACCTGCAGATATTGATAAATCTTGTGCCATGTCTTCAACAACTCTTTCAAGACCACGAACTCTGTTCTCAAGAGTCACCATGTTATTATGAGACCCGCCCATGAAATCCTGCACTAGAAACTTCAGGTAAGAAAAGCTGGTAATGAATTCATTTTTGAAGCAGCAGACTAAATGGCCATACCTGCAACATGTTCATGAGGTGAGCCTGTTGCCTCTCGAGTTGCAACAACTGCCTTTGAATAGCTAGCCAGTTTCCTTTGTTATTCAGAAACCCCTCGGACTGCCCCCCACTTTTAGCAAAACTAACATGGCTGCTGGATGACTCCCTTTGACTTAGATCAATCCCATTAAGTGTATCTTGCTCTCTGCAACTTGCTCCAGAAATGACTTTCTCAGCATTAGTATATCTGTCATTTGGATGGTTGTTTCCCCTTATCCTTTCCTTCGTGGTGTCACTGGGCTCAGACTCTTCCTCATTCTGTACATTTGATGCATTAAGACATCGACGAGGGACAACAACTTCTACAGGTAAATCACCTGAACCCCTTGTTTCTAGTTTTTGGAAGAATTCTGGGTTAAACTCCTTATCACTCAGAACTGGAGCCTTTTTCTTCAATATCCCAACAGTTTTTTCAGAGATGTTGCCACCCTTGGTTTTGGAAGAAGAATCAGTAGGAGAAGTTTTATTGGAAGAATCTTTAACCACAGTCTCATGCCTCTCACGATTCTGAAGCTCCTTGTTCTCTGATACATCAGCTGATTCAGAAATTTCACCATCTAAAAGGTTGGTTCAATAAAATAGTTAGAAATTAGATGCAAAATGTTACAAACTGAAGCAGCATTCAAAGCTTAAGCTTTTAAACCCAAGAAAAAAAAACAATAACAAAAACAAAAACAGCATTTGGAACAAGATCATAATGCAATCACACTACCATGAGATACAGATTTTTGGTCATCCGCAACTCCATCTCCTTTTCCTGCAATTTTCTTCCATAGCTGCAAGGCCTCCAACATACTATCTCTAACAGGTTTTATCTGAAAAACTCACTCTAATCACTTTTTGTTTGATAAACAAGTTTCTCATAACACAGAGGAAAATAGAGATGATATGAATATATTGCTCTCATAAAAGGATTGAACTATCAAGTTATCAATGCAAGAGTGTCAGATATTTAGCCAGTATTCCCAGGCCTCACAATAACATGAGATGGGTTAGCAATGCACATGTTCGAATGGTGCTCTAAATAAAAACAAATAACTGTCAGCATTAAAATGCACAAAGATTTCCTTCTATTATTAGGTCTGAAATGTATATAAGCTTCAGAATAGGCATGCAGTTTGAAATAACACATTAAATTTCGTTACAGTAGACTATATAAGCAAAGGCAAGGTCAAATGAGCCAGTGAAATATGATATGTAATTACTAACAGCCTCCTATACCGAATTTTTGTGGAATGGTACCTTATCAAACCGAGAAGCTTCAAGCACAGTCAATACTGAAGCAGCTCCATCAGTTACCAAGTTGCTTGAATGCAATGCCAGGACACTTAAAGTATCAGCTGCAGCCTTACGAGTTGCCCACTCTGAGCTGCCAATGCATTCGTGTATGCTCCGCATTAATGATTCAAAATTTTGTGGTGCAATGGCTCCAACCTGCACTAACATATTAGTATAAGGGCTACTATGTAGCACTATAAGCCTATCATTGCTTTTAAAAATCTAAAGTTTGCATCTTAACAGATCCAAAAATACTACTCGGTTTGTAAAAGGAGGAAGAACAACTAGTATTTACAAAGTAATCCTTTGGCACAGGTTTTAGTATGGAGTAAACTCAGGAGGTAACGACCTTTCAACCTTGTACCTAAAGCCAAAAACCTAATGCACATGCTTTCTACTTTTACAATTCCAAAAGCAACTTTCTAAAGAAAAATGCTTGCTTGCTAAAATAAACAGTATAAAGAAATACCGACAATTGCAATCCACAAACACCATAACATACCAGGTTCAAATTGAATATAGTTGGAATAGTTTTTGGATCTTATCACAGACTAGAATGTACTACTTACTAGCATTTACTAGATTCATTGTAGTTTTCAGATCCTATCACATATTAGAATCTAGCCCTTAGTAGCAATTACGAGATTCAACATAGTTTTCAGATGTTATCACATATTAGAATATATATACTCCTTAGTAGCATTACAAGATTCAACATAGTTTTCAGATGCTATCACAGATTAGAATCCACTGATTAGCAGCAGGTACTAGATTCAAAATAAACACTGAATTAGAGCAAACAGGAAAGGATGAACCTGAGATAAGCTTGACACAACAGACAAGAGCGAAGCCTTGGCCATGAAATTGGGACTATTAAGGTACTTGCAGATCCGTGGGCAAAGCTTCTGAAATGGCACTACAGGCGGGTCGGAAGCACATTCCACCATTTTAGCCATACACATTGAAGCTCCGACTTGTACAGTCTTGTTATTCTCGCCCATGGCCTCGAACAGAGGCTTCACAAACAAGGAAACAACAGAGCCAAGAGCACCGGTTTCAGCCTCCCCCTTGAGGTACTGCGAGGAGAGAGAGCCAATGGCGTCACGGCACGCGTCCCTGACGGCCGAATCGGAGTCCTTGAGCCTCTTG